GCTTCCCCGAGGTGAAGCTGCTGTGACACGTTTGCCTTTTGTTCCTGAAGTCTCTTCTCTCAGACCCGCTCTGTGTGTTTCCAACGTGGACCACGTCACGGAGCCGGCGAGGGGCCTTTAGATCCTGCGGAAACTCCGCAGCCCACTTCCTGGGTGTTCTGCCTGGGAACCAGCAGGGCAGGCACGTCTTTATTGTGTTCTGTGGCATCAGGCGGTACTTTAATTTCTCCTATTTCAACTCATAAACCTTGCCATCGATGAAACTAATTGCATCAGAAACAGCCAGGGAACTTCACGAGCATTCGAAACCCATAAATAACAGCCCCAATTAGCCGCCGCGTGGCGAAGCGCTCCGTCTTCCTGTCGGGCCACGTGCAGCTGCTCCGACTGCACCCTGCAGGGAATGGTGGTGTCCCTGCCTCAGGCACAGGGCTCAGGGCAGAGGGATGGGGCCGCCTTTTGGGGGCAGAGTGCAGAGCTTGGCTCTGCCACCTCCAAGGGAGCCAGGGACAGAGCAGGGACCCTGGTGACACCGGAGGGTACGGGGCAGTGCTGGGTGGCAGGTGCTGTCTCCTCCACCTTTCAGTGGGACCCAGTGCTCCACAGATGATGGCTGCACCAGCCTGGCATGAAAACACAGAACACAGCCCCCACCGCCCACCCCGACTCGGGCAGTTTTGTGGCTGAGACAGGGAAGGAGGCAGCAGAAAGCTGGAAAACTCAAGACCGCCGGGAGAACCGGGGAGACCCTGTCACTCAGAGGGGCCAACGATGTTGGCTGTGGGCTCTCAGAGGGAGAAGGTGCAGGGGACAGTGGCCACCTCCTTACAGACCTGCCCCCCTGAAAGCATGCGGCCCGGTGGGGGACGCTGCTAAGCAGGTCCCAGAGGTGTGAACATGAGCAGGGGTGTCCCGGAAACCATCCTGTGTCCTGGGCGGGGGCAGGATCGGCCTGGGCTGTGGGATGTCTCAACGCATGTCCGTTTCGTAGGGTCCATGTGTGCACATGTGGAGTGTCCTAGGCCTTGTCTGTGTTTTCCAGTTGTCATTTTGGTGGCATTTCATTCCTGCCTGCCGGGTAGTCTGCTCTCAAGTCCCTGCCAGGCCACAGTGGACCCTGAAGGGGCTCCCGCGGGGCCGCCCGCCCCTCTCTGCCTCTTGTCCACCTGGTTCCTGAGCCCGAGCCTGGCGCCATCGGGAGGGGCTACTGGAGTTGGATATTTTGCTTGAGCTTGGGTGCGCCGGGGCTAGCGGTGGGGAGTGGGGTCCTTCAGGGACCAGTAGGGGCTTTGTTCTGGGGAGGAAAGCCCCCAACTGCGGTGGCTCTTGCTAAACACCACTTCCTGTTTCGCAGGGGCAGGGCAGGTGGACGCTGACCTCCCGGGGGGCATTTGCTAGCGCAGTCGTGCGTGCCACCACCCAGCGGTTACGAAGCGTCTGCTCGTGTCCATCACGCCGTTGGTTTAGCGTGAAAGACGTGACTTCTGTTCTCAGAGACCCCACGGACAGGGAATGGGGCATTCAGTGTGATTTGCTGGCGTGAAGGCATATTTGACACGTGGAACATGTGGAGGTGGGTTTCCCGCAGGTTGGCGTGGGCTGGTTTTAGGCACGATTGGCTACAGACGCCTTCAGAGTTGCGGCCCACTGAACACACGGCTGCTGCTTCTCCACCAAGAGACGCAAGCCCGGCTGTGCACACCAGGGGCAGGGACGAGCGCAGACCCCGTGTGCACCGCCCACGTCCACCCGGGCAGCTCGTTCTCAGCGGTGCTCCAGAGAGAGGCCCCAGTGCTCGGCGGGGAAGCGAAGTCCAAGGAGTGGACCCTGGGGCGGAGGAGCGGAGGCAGGACCCTGGGGCGGAGGAGCGGAGGCAGGACCCTGGGGTGGAGGAGCGGAGGCAGGACCCTGGGGCGAGGAGCGGAGGCAGGACCCTGGGGCGGAGGAGCGGAGGCAGGACCCTGGGGCGAGGAGCGGAGGCAGGACCCTGGGGCGGAGGAGCGGAGGCAGGACCCTGGGGCGAGGAGCGGAGGCAGGACCCTGGGGTGAGGAGCGGAGGCAGGACCCTGGGGTGAGGAGCGGAGGCAGGACCCTGGGGCGAGGAGCGGAGGCAGAGCGTGGTGAGGTCAGGCACGGCCGGCGCTCGGCTCCACCCATGCAGAGGAAGTGCTGGCCCCTGAGCGGGCAGGGGGCAGGGGGCAGGGGGCAGGGGGCAGGGGGCAGCGGGGGTCAGTGGAGCTGATGGTGCGGATGCGCGGGGAGAGAAGTGCTGACGGCTCCGTGGAGGAGGCCGGCACCTGAGCCAAGGCTTTCGGCACGGAATGTGAGGAGGACCACACGGGCGGGGGGGGGCACGGTCTGTGAGGAGGACCACACGGGGGGGCACGGTCTGTGAGGAGGACCACATGGGGGGGCGTGGTCTGTGAGGAGGACCACATGGGGGGCATGATATGGGAGGAGGAGGACCACACGGGGTGAGGGGTACGGTCTGTGAGGAGGACCACATGGGGCGGGGGGGGGGGAACAGTCTGTGAGGAGGACCACACGGGGGGGCACAGTCTGTGAGGAGGAGGACCACATGGGGGGGTACGGTCTATGAGGAGGACCACACGGGGGCATGGTCTGGGAGGAGGAACACATGGGGCGGGGGGGGCACAGTCTGTGAGGAGGACCACACGGGGTGGGGCACAGTCTGTGAGGAGGACCACATGGGGGGGTACGGTCTGTGAGGAGGACCACATGGGGGGGTACGGTCTGTGAGGAGGACCACACGGGGGGGTATGATATGGGAGGAAGACCATATGGGAGGGGCATGGTCTGTGAGGAGGACCACACGGGGGGGGGGCACGGTCTGTGAGGAGGACCACATGGGGGGGCACAGTCTGTGAGGAGGACCACACGGGGGCACGGTCTGGGAGGAGGACCACACGGGGGGGCACGGTCTGGGAGGAGGACCACACGGGGGGGCACAGTCTGTGAGGAGGACCACACGGGGGGGGGCACAGTCTGTGAGGAGGACCACACAGGGGGCGCACAGTCTGTGAGGAGGACCACACGGGGGCACGGTCTGTGAGGAGGAGGACCACACAGGGGGGCACGGTCTGGGAGGAGGACCACACGGGGGGGCACGGTCTGGGAGGGGGAGGACCACACAGGGGGCGCACAGTCTGTGAGGAGGACCACACGGGGGCACGGTCTGTGAGGAGGAGGACCACACAGGGAGCACGGTCTGGGAGGAGGACCACACGGGGGGGGCACGGTCTGGGAGGGGGAGGACCACACGGGGGGGAGAGCACGGCTGTTGCCCGCCCGAGCTCAGTGGGGGAGGGCAGGGCCGGCTTTTCCAGGGACAGCGTGCAGCAGCTCTATCCTGAGCTTGCCTGGGGAGGGGCCTAGAGGGGACGCCCCAGGGAGAAGAGGGGACCTGACTCCTCCCTGCAGGGAGTGGAGCGCTGGGGGCAGGTGCGGCCAAGGCTGGCTTTCCAAGCAGCCCTGCTGGTTAATGGGCCAGAAACTCCATTCCAGTTGCTGCAGAGCTGGCCCACGTGTCCAGTGGCCTGGAGGACCCGCAGAAGAGCCTTCGTGTGGGTCTTCCCAGACCCTGGTGTGCGTCCACCAGACCCGGGTGTGTGTCTACCAGGCCCTGGTGTGCATCCACCAGACCCCAGTGTGCGTCTACCAGGCCCTGGGTACGCGTCCACCAGACCCCGGTGTGCGTCTACCAGGCCCTGGGTGTGCGTCTACCAGGCCCTGGGTGTGCGTCCACCAGACCCCGGTGTGTGTCCACCAGACCCGGGTGTGTGTCCACCAGACCCGGGTGTGCATCCACCAGACCCTGGTGTGTGTCCACCAGACCCCAGTGTGCGTCTACCAGACCTGGGTGTGCGTCCACCAGACCCCGGTGTGCGTCTACCAGGCCCTGGGTGTGTATCCACTAGACCCCGGTGTGTGTCCACCAGACTCCAGTGTGCGTCCACCAGACCCCAGTGTGCGTCTACCAGGCCCTGGGTGTGCGTCCACCAGACCCTGGTGTGCGTCCACCAGACCCTGGGTGTGCATCCACCAGACCCGGGTGTGCGTCTACCAGGCCCTGGGTGTGCGTCCACCAGACCTGGGTGTGCGTCCACCAGACCCCAGTGTGCGTCTACCAGGCCCTGGGTGTGTATCCACTAGACCCCGGTGTGTGTCCACCAGACCCCGGTGTGTGTCCACCAGACCCCGGTGTGCGTCCACCAGACCCCGGTGTGCGTCCACCAGGTGGGCTGTTTGACGTTGCTCAGGCCTTTAGAAGAAGTAGGCATTGAGAGTGCAGCGGCAGAGCAGCCCGTGTCCTGGGAGGCGTCCGCTGGAGCACAGCCGTGCTGGGCCCCCCTCCAGGCTTTGGGGAAGCACAGCTGCCCGTCTCACAAGGGTGACAAGGGCCGGCCTCTCTGCGCTGGGGGCAGAGGAGTGACGGGTGCTCGGCTTTGGTGCCAGCCCAGATGGGGCTGTGCAGCCTGGCTGTGCAAATCAAGGCCGTGAGCGCAGCGCACACCCAGCGTCGCAAGCCGGTGTTCACTAAAGGTTATGTTTGCCTTAAACTAATTAAAGCCATTTGTATCAAATGACTGGAGTGACTTCCCTTTTGAAAATAAAGGGAAAAAAAACGGAAAGAAGTTGTCTTTAAAAAAAAAAAAACTGAGTTAATTTCATCAACTGAGTCGAGAGCTGCACTATCAATTTTATTACATTGAAATGTGAGAATAAATCAGTGAGGTGAAGACGGAATCTTCATCTAGATCAGTCTGCACACATCAGAGCCGGCTCAATGCGAGCTCTTTGGAGAACGGCCCACGAGTGCCAGAGCAGTGCGTGTAGACGTCGGAGGCCACCCTCCCCGGGGTGCAGGGGGCGTGTGCAGAGGGCCACGTGCAGGGGGTGTGTGCAGGGGTGTGTGCAGGGGGTGTGTGCAGAGGGCCACGTGCAGGGGGGCATTGCAGGGGGCGTGTGCAGAGGGCCATGTGCAGGGGGGCGTTGCAGGGGGCTTGTGCAGAGGGCCACATGCAGGGGGCGTGTGCAGGATGGTGTGTGCAGAGGGCCACATGCAGGGGGTGTGTGCAGGGGGCCATGTGCAGGGGGGTGTGTGCAGAGGACCACATGTGGGGGGGCGTGTGCAGAGGGCCACATGCAGGGGGTGTGTGCAGGATGGTGTGTGCAGAGGGCCACATGCAGGGGGTGTGTGCAGGGGTGTGTGTCCACAGTGTCGTTTGCATGGGGTGTGTGTGTGCAGAGGGCCATGTACAGGGGGCGTGTGCAGGGGTCTGTGTGCAGGGGGATGTATGCAGGGGGTGTGTGCAGAGGACCACATGCGGGGGGGCGTGTGCAGGGGGACAGGTGCAGGGTCCGTGTGCCGAGGGCTGTGTGCACTGCTCCTGGAGTCACCTCCGGTTCAGTCCTGTGGAGGTCCCGGCAACCCGAGTGCCCTTTTGTAATTTGCTGGCATCTGCTCACCGGCGTCACGCAAACGGGCCAGACTGGGATGAATGTGCATGAATCATGGTTTGTGTCTGAGAGGACGCTCTAGCAGATGTTCCTTCCCATTAAGCTGCACACACACTACGTCCTGCTGGAGCTGGGTCCCGAGCTAGGAGCAGAGGCTGCACAGACACCGGGCGTCTCGCACCCTTTTCGCGGATGGCCCTCGGCATGTGCTCTCCTCTCGTCCCCGCGATGACAGCGCGTGACGCCCTTCTGCCAGAGGCCGGAGCCGTTCTCCAGGACTGGCTCTGTGCCCTCACGCAGGACCTGTCGAGGGGCCTGGGTGCTCAGTGCGCACACACGCTGCTGGGTGGTGGTGGTGCAGCCCGGGCTGTGCTCAGGCACGGAGGGTGATGCGGCTTTGGGAGTCTTTCCCCGGGACACTTGGCCCAGGGGAGCTGAATGTACACGTGGGGCGGCGGGGACAGACACCCGCTCTGGCGCTGACGCAGGGCTGATGTGGTCTCCCCGGGGATCCCGAGTGGCAGAGGAGGCTGGCTCAGATGGAGTCGGGAGTCTGTTTCCAGGGCCGCCAGGACCCATTCCCTGAGCACCTGCCACGGGCCAGTGTTCAGCGTCTCCGTGTGTGGCCAGAATCTGCCCCGCAGCATTGCCTCCCTTTTCTGCAGATGGAGACCCTGAGACTTGGCGCAGGCAGCTGGCTGTCCCACAGTTCACAGCTAGAGCGTGACCACACCGGGCACGGGCCCTGCCCAGACTCCGAACCACAGCCTCTGCACAGAGCCGACAGCTGCCTGGGCTCTGGGCTGGCGGCGGCTGCTGCCTCAGCCCCACCTGGTCCCTGGGGCTTCCGCCCCGTCCAGCCCCTGCCAGCCTCGGTGCCCCTTCCACTGTGACTCCCCTGGGGTGCGCCCGGCCCTGGCAGAGAACAGGAGGGGGATCTGAGCACCAGGGTCCAGGTGGGCAGAGTGGCAGCCGTGCCCACCCCTGCTGCAAGGATGCGCCCCTGTGGGGCTCCGCCCACAGCAGACCCGCGGGCCCAGGAGGCGGCCTCCCGCCAGGTGACAGACGCCGCCCACAGCTGCACCGTCCCCTCTTACACTCTGCTCGCTGTGTCCTGAAGCCCTCTTCCACAAAGCGCTTCCATCTGATGAAATTTAATGCTGTGATTTAGGATGGAAACACATTGAGCCATGCGTTGCTCCTCCACATCAGATGTAACCGAAGGCTTTCTGATAGGCGCTAGGAGGAGAGTTTAACGTGTGAAGTCGCGACTAATGATGACATAGCTAGTGTTGTCACCACTGGAGCACTTGGTTTTAACACTGCCCGGGTCCACTGGCTTAGGTGTGGGCCCTCGTGTGGTCCCCCGGCTTCTCCGAGTTAACAGCCACAGGGCACAGTGACCTTCCAGAAGACCAGGGTGATGGTAACACGTGACGTTCCTGCTGTGTTTGTAAAGCTGTATCGTGCTCCGTCCGTGAGTGTACAAGTCAGTGTCTCCTACAGGCTGGGTGTGTGTGTCCTGTGTGGGTGTCCTACACAATACACTGCACACAGTGTCGTGTGCAGGGAAGGGATGTGTCCATCTCCTGTGTAATCCTGGGTGGACTACATTGTGTACAGTGATGGTGTGATGTGGACACGTCAGCGTGTGTCCATCTCCTGTGTCACACTGTGTGTACAGTGTCGTGTGTAGTGGTGGTGTGATGTGCACACGTCAGCGTGTGTCCATCTCCTGTATGACACTGTGTGTACTGTGTTGTGTGTAGTGATGGTGTGATGTGGACACGTCAGCGTGTGTCCATCTCCTGTGTCACACTGGGTGTACAGTGTCATGTGTGGTGCGATGTGGACACGTCAGCATGTGTCCATCTCCTGTGTCACACTGTGCGTACAGTGTCGTGTCCAGCGTTAGTGTCAACGTGAACAACTGCATGTCAGTGTCCTCACTGGTTTTAGCTCTCTCTTCCCTGTGTGCCCGAGGGTGGCTGGTGTTGAGCTGGCCCTGAGCTGCCCGCTCCCCTCTCTGTCTCTGTCCCGCCCCTGAGCCCAGTCTCAGCTGCCTCGGCTCTGGGACTTTGCACCTGCCCCCACCCCCTGCTGTCTGGTGCCCTCTGCACCGCCCATTTACCCCACCACTTCTTTTCCCTGTGGCCTCAGTTGAATGACTAATTCCGCGGTGTCTCCACGTGGTCCCGAGTACGGCTCACTTGCAGGGCTAGTTGGGCACTAACTGCCCACTGCCAGAAGCCTGCACCTTCAGCTCTCTCTGATCTGCCCAGCCTGTGCCACGCCTGGAGCAGGGCGACGCTCGGCACTCAGTACTGACCGGGAACGGGGACGGCGCCGAGCCCTGTGTCCTAGGCAGGCTGCAGACTTCCTGTGGTCAGCACTCCGTGGGCCAGACCAGAGGCAGCTGCTGAGCAGGCAAGCACACGAGGCCTGCACCTCACGGGGTGGCCGTCCTGTGGACAGTGCATCAGCATTCCTGATGCTGTGAGGCAGACGTGGGCCAGGTGCTGTCGTCCACTGTAGGGCGGAGACCACGAGGCGGCAGCAGATGCTGGGGCCCCACATCAGCCCTCTGGGGTGGCCGGCTTGGCAGGAAGGATGAACTCCTGGGCCTCCCCAGCTGCCACCTAAACGGGGCCGAGGCTGCCCCTGGCCCTGAGGGAGGGGTGTGCTCCCCAGGCCACCCTGTGCCTCATGGCCCCCGAGGGCGTGCCCCCGCCTCTGCTTGGTGCTTCTGGGCCAGAGAGAAGTTAACGGCCGCTGACGCGGTGCAGGTGCCGGTGCGTCCATGTCTGTGACTCACACGGTTCTTCTTTTCCCCAAGATCTGGTCTGTTCCTCGGCCCGGGATGGGAACAGCCACTCACAGGTGCGCACCGTGCCCAGGTGTCCCATGGGACAGCAGCCGGGCTGCCCGTGTCAGGCACTCTGGGCCTGTTCTCGGGCCCTGGGCATGTGCTGCCACCTCGGGGCAAGCCTGCCAAGCCCCGAGATGACCTGAACACAGTGAGAGCCCCCTGCGGTCAGCAGAGGTCATGGCCAGGCCAGGCCGGGGTGGCAGAACTCTGGAAGATCAGCCGAGTTCCTGATGAGCTCTGAGTCTGGCCAAGACACGTGGCTCAGTTAGCGTCACTCTGTTTTCTCGTTCAACACTTCTGGGGCTCGTTGGAGTGTGCAGGGGAACCTGTCTGTCCCAGGAGCTTGACAAGGGGGTGGAAGCCCTGCGCGGGAGCCCTGGGGGAGCCAGGTCCCCGGGGCAGTCCTGGTGGTCCCTGGAGTCCCACAGGGGTGACCAGGTCTGCAGCAGGTGTTGGGGAGACCCCAGGTCCCCTCTTCCCAGGCCCGGAGGCAGCTTTTCCTCCTTGTGCAGCGAGACCCAAACAGGGCCGCTCACAGCTGCCCAATCATTGCAGTCAGAGCTCAGCTGACGGCACAGGAGCTGTCCCCACCCAAACCCACCTCGCCTTTCCCCAGGGCCCTTCAAGGTCCCCTCGCCCCTCGGCTCTTGTTTCCTGCATGGCCCAGGCCGACCCCGCAGAGCTCCCTGGAGAGTAAGACACCAGCCTGCTCTGTGCCCCTGGAGAGACCCCGGCCGGGAGGGGTCCTCAGGGGCTAGAAGGCAGATTCCCTGTGTCGGAGCCCCTGTGCAGTGCGAGGGGTGGGTCCATCAGACTCCCAGAGGCCCCGCCCCCCGCCCAGGCCTCAGCCCTGTGGCAACAGCAGCCGAAGGCTCCCGGAAGGGCCGGGGGCTTGGGAAAGACTCAGGACCAAAGGAGGCAGGAGGTTTGGTAACTGCCCACAGCCAGGGCCCGCT